AAAAAAAAAAAAAAAAAAGAAAAAAACTTTTTGGGGATAAGGAAAAGAATGGTCGACATTTTCGGACTCGAGGGCTCGAATGCAATTAAGAGACGAACTTTTTGTGCAGCAGGGGTAGCACCATGTTAGTGTTCATGTGTCAGGGGTTCGCCTGTAAAATTTTATCATGAATTAATATACGAGCATCAAATTCTTCTCCAACTACATGGGCTTAATGTACTATACATATATACTTGGGTCTTTCAAACTGTAGTATTTTTCATGGCAAAATACAACTTCATCCACAACTTTATGAACATTCATAATTTGCAGCATTTCGTACATCTGATCATCATGCATGTATGTTTTGTGGATGATTGTTCGAGGGGGAAATGTTGTGGTCCCGTTACGGAACATGTGTTTTAATCGTCAGATCATCTATCTTATACTAACTACATGTGTATCTAACGGTTAGAACTCCCGACAGCACGGTTCCGTAACGGGACCGTAGCATTTCCCTTGTTCGAGGTTGTTGGTAATCTTGATTATACAAGTTGTAATTTATGAGTAGTCATAATTTGAGATTGTGAACGTATGAAGTGATCACACACTATATCATTCAATCACCACAAAAAGAGTTTGCACCACGGTTCTTTTGTATAAACTATAAAGTCAGTAGGCCTGACCACCGAGAGCAATGTAAGAAAATGATAAAATTCCAATGTTATTGCTGCAATTAAAAATAGTTTGAAGAACTCCAAACTTTCCCTTGAAAATTCCGTTTGATTTTTTAACAATTCAACGACAATTTTCTCCACGATTGAAATGTGGCCGGAGAAAAAAATATTCCGGCAGTAATTGTACATTCCAATTAAACCATTTGAAGAAATGATCATCGGAATCATCAAATTTGAAAGGAGTTTTTGCAACTCAAAAACTGCAATAACAGAACACAACAACAAACACAAAAGATTGCCATGTCACCCACATAAAAGGCAACCCCAAGTCTTGCATTTTCACTTCATGCGACAAATACGCATTTTCCCATATTCGGACAACAACCCGATTCTTAAACCTTCAAAAACTCCAAAACCTAATCAGACAGAGCACACAGAAATCACAGTTTCAACCAGTCGGCCGGGATCCCAGAAACACCTCGCCAGCCCCTTTCGACATGTGCCACATCAGCAGCAGCAACAATTGGGCCCAAACCCAAGGGCTCCGTGGGGCCCACCTCCTCCTCGGCTGGATTCTCTAGCATTCCATCCCTCAGCTTCTCTAACCGCTGTTTCAGATCCCTGAGTTGGTCCCAGCCGAGCCTGCTCAGCTGCTCATCTGTAACCCCACCAGAGCTCTCCAGCGCCGCCTCCAGTTCTTTTCCTCTCCTCTTCTGGGCCTCGAGCTCCTGGGCCTTCTTTTCGCACTCATCCTTGAGGTGGGCCAGCATGGCCGCGTGGGCCCAGACGGCGTGTGGGTCCGGGATAGGCGGGTTCCTATTGAAGAAGCGGCCCGCAACAGACTCGACATTTGGGTGGCCGAATGAGTAGGCCCGCCCACGGAGGGAGAAGATGATTATGGCTATGTGGGCCCCACACAGGATGGAAAGCTCGGTTGCCTTCTTGAACAGCCCAGCCCGCCGCTTGGAGAAGGTCACGGTCCGTGCGTTGTCATCGGCGATCAGCTTCATCTCTATCTTTCTCCTGCCTTGTGACTTTTTTCTTCCCTGAGGAGGAGGAGGAGGAGGAGCCATTTTTAGTTACGAGATTGGGATATTTTTCTTTTTTGAAAATCAAATTGCATACAAAGAAAGTTGGGTTGAAACTATGTTATATAGGGATTTTCGAGGGGGATTTCACTGGGAGGAAACAATGACTTTTGAGCAAATCCCGGTTGGATTACCATATTTTTTATCGAAAATCTGGTAATAATAAATTTGGGGCTTTGCGCGCATTAAAACGCTATAAATAAAAGCCAGGTCGGGGATTTGGACAAGTGGCGACTGTTCTCAGTGAGAGCGTTCACGGCCAACCAACAGCGTATTTTCCATTTGGAAAGAAAATGCCACATCATCGGTTCATTATTTTTCAACGGTTTAAAGGACGGACAAAATAATGGCAAAAAATTCATCCACCAATGGGAAATAGTGAAATAATGTTTCTCCTTAGCTCGTGGGGATAAGAGAACTACATATAGACGTTGCTGTGGCTGGTCAGCAATTAAAGTTTGCTGCCTTTTCAAATAAGAGCCTAAAAAGAGAATTTATTACATGACAAAGAGATTGTATGTGATTACAGGAAATTAATACAAGGTAATCCCAATTCAATTTCTTTTGCCTTGACAGAAGCAGAGCAAAAGGCAATGTGAACAGATGGTCAATTGTTACAACTTGTACAGCCAAACTTATTTCTCCAAAATAATATAAGAAAAACAACCTACTAATTAGGTCCTATTGGAAGTGATTTGCGGATTATAACAATAATTACAGTGACTATAACATGCATTCGCCTGAGAGATTTATGCTCTGCATCTCCAAATATACAAAATATAGATATGAAGATAGCATTATAATTTCGAGAATTCTATATAGAAGATATTTATCATGCATTTCTGCTAAGTGAGAAGAGAGATAAGAAATCAGTGTTAAATTGTGCTGTATTTTATGGTGAGATTTATCTTTGGAGTTAGACTAACTCCAACAAGGCCAGCTTACATAACATACTACGGTATAGTATAAACCGTTTGGCCCCTAAAGTTACTTTTACTATATGTATTTATAAGCACATGCCATGAAATGGTTAATATATAGGTTTCATGGGTAAAACACATTGAACTTTTTCAAACTGAAATGTAGTAACTTACATCGATGATATGCTTATTGCATTATTGGCTGCAAATCAGAAAGTCCACATTTGATTTGGAATCTGCATCAAAATATGAAATAAAATAAAATCAAAGAAATACATAAACAACTAGACATGACGTATTACATTGACGTTAAATCATTGCAGATGAAAAATGGCTACTGAGAGCAGGGCGGGGTCCTAGGAGATGAAGGATATAAAAATTGCGTATTCAAAGCTATAAGAAGAATAATATATTAAAAAATATCAAAGTCATACAATGGAATAGATGATATATGAAACTTGATACGCCATCAAATACTCTAAATACTGGTATAGTATTGCTCTATCTCTACAATTATGAAAACAAGGATTTTAATGAATTTGATGTATTGGTATAAAGAGATTAGAAATTATAGTAGTTCTTATTTTTCAAAAATGATTTATAAGTATTAAGATTTTATAGATGAGATGATTATATGAATATCTTGTTCTTCAATCATAGTGAATATCCCCAACGAAAAAATTCCATTAGACATACTAACTTAATACAAAATAAAATAATATATACATATACATGGCCGAAAAATCGGACTTCCTGGCACTGCCTCTTATGCTTGGGTCGCATAAACGTAAATGCGTAGCAGGCCAGTAGTATTGGATGAAGTTAACTAGATATTTGAACAAAAGTCGAGTTAATTGCAAAACGAGTGCATGACAAAATTATAGCAATTCAAACCAAGCACTATCACATGTAACGGGAACTGGGAACTCTAATAATCACACGGAAAAACGGAGAAATCAGCACATGATATCAATACATAGAAGTAAACGTTCTCCAACTGAAATCAAACTTTCACAGCACAGAGTTCATGACTTCATGGAAAAACTAAAACCAAATTGCAGTCAAATAAACCAACGACAACCTGCTGATCACAGAATACCTTAAAAACCACTAACTAAACAACTTAAACAAACAGTTTTTGAAGATCAATACCTCCAATTACATGTCAAAATCTCCAAAGGAGAAAACTAGACCATTCTTATCACTGAGTCATTTCATCGAACACCTCTCGTCACCCGTCGTCCCTGAGAGCCGATAAAGATAAGCACCCATTAAGGCCGCAACGAACGATTACAGATCGTTACATCAGTTTAAAGTACATATTAATGCATGAATTAAGTGTGCTTCAATTTCTCTTCAGTCCGAATTAGCTCCGGCTATCCACTTAAATGTTAACAGAACTTGCTGTAGGCGATTAAATTTTGAGACCTGGTAAAATTGCGACAAGTGTCAAATTCCATGTTAAAATCAATTTAATAATTTTCTATTTTATTTGGGAAATTAATCAAATTTAATTCCTAAATTAAAATAGTTAATTAATTGATTATTTAATATACATTGTTGGCCAATTAAAGAATGTCACATGTATATTTTGAAGGCCAATTAAAGAATGCCACATGTCATTTTGGGAGAATTAAATAAATAATTATTTCTTTTAATAATTATTAAAGAGATAAATAAGTGAAAATTCATGGACCAATCAGATTGCAGTCTTCTTTTTCAAGACTCTCTCTCCTAATTATCTCTTTAAATAAATATTAAGAGATAAATATTGGAAATTATGGACCAATCAAATTGAAGTCCTCTTTTCCAAGACTCTCTCTCCCAACACCTATAAATAGGGCTCTCCCTAAGGTGGGAAAAAACACAATTCATATTCAAGTTCCAAGTTCAAGAGCTCTAGAGAATTCTCTCCTCAAAATTCAAGTGTTCTTGAAGATCCAAAGGCGTTCTTGAAGATTCGAAGGAAGATTCAAGCACGTTCAAGCCCAAAACCAACGTTCAATCCGGAAACAAGCTGCCAAGCCTCCGAATTGCGTTATTAAAGTTCAAGTGTTTTGAAGATTCAAAGACGTTCTTGAAGACCCGAAGGAAGATTCAAGCGCATTCAAGCCAAAAACCAACGTTTAATCCGGAAACAAGCTGTGAAGCCTCCGAATTACGTTATTCAAGTCAAGACCGGCGTAGAGAAGATCAAAATCAACTTTGCGGCGAAGACCAAGGATTCGTGTTCTTCACGTTCTTGGGAAATCACGACGTTCGATTCGAGATCAAGCTATCAAGCCCTCGAAAAAACGTTATTTAAATCCATATTCAAGACTGACGGAGATCAAACTGAAGATTAGTCTCCAAAGGTCTCATATCCATTTGAAGATTGTTCTTGAAGAAATTAATCAGAGGAATAATAGAGATTTGTAATCCACTATATTTCTTTTGATCCGTTGAAAATCCATTTATACGAATTTCTCGTGTTTTTTAATTTAATAATACGAAATTTTGCGTTACACTTGCCAATTATACAGTTCAAAGCAGCATGGAAGAAAACGAATAACGAACAGTAAAAACGGAAAAAATATATATATAAAAAAAAAGATCACCTGTGGAGCTCTTTCGCCGGAGATTCAGCTAACGACGGCTCCATGGAGGCGGGACCCGTCGGATAATTTTTCTCCGGCTAGTCGGGGATTTGACTGGGCTTATGCAGTCCAATGATTTTGGCGGAATATTTGGGCTGACTAATAGAATAAGGGGTAAACTCGTCCACTTTCCCTTTCAAAATGACTCATTTTGGTCAAGTTTCATTTTTATATCGATTTTTACCAAACTTGTCACCATTTCAGAATCTACATACAAAGTACAAACTTTGAGAGAGAGAGAGAGAGGGAGGGAGAGAGAGAGAGAGAGAGAGAGAGAGAGAG